AATGTTTATCTTAACAGTCAATTTACAAATAATGCATTCAGATTTGTGGAACTCAATGCGCTGAATCTCCACAAATTAGTGTCGTTACTATGACAACCAATTTGAATGTGACAAAAAACTGATATATCACCATTCAGTCTGAAGTAAAAAAAAAAATCAATACTTTTATTCAACAAGGTGACAGTAAAGATATACTTATTACAAATTGTTTATATATATATATATATATATATATGCTGTTCATACACACTGTTTTCTCACATGAACTCACAATTTTAATTTTCTTACCGAGACTTGAGCTATCAAAAATAAAATTAAACATTACATTTTCTTACAAAGACTAGGCCTATCTAAAATTAAATCAAACATTAATGTCATTAGACTGGAGTTTAGGGCAGCTGGGTTCGTCAACAGTTTTGAAACTGAGCACTTATGAGAGGAATTTTATTTTGGTTCAAAACAGGCTGCTCCCAGCTTTCTGTAAAAGGGGTGAGGACAACTCAATTTTAACCACGTGGTCAGAAACAGCCAATACGATTCGAAGGCTAGAGTGACTCACAAACGGTCTTCGCCAATCCGACAGCTCGCCGCGCTGAACTCAGATTTGTTTGAAAGAGCGTGCGCTGTGCTTGAACGTAAGGATAATTGTTCTTCAAATTCAGTTATTAAACTGAGATATTTATACTTGTCTTACCTGACTGGTTGAAGAAGCAGTAGATAACGTAAGTAGATGCTGTTTTTTGGCAACTGTTATCAATTTGTTGAGAGTATTGTCATGATTTGGATCGTTTTGAAGCGTGCTAATATACTAGGAACTCCTCTCTGATTCTTTTAGTACTGATAGAAAATTGGGAAATATTTAGAATGAATCTGTTCGACATGTTATGAGGTATTTTTGTATGTCTGGTTGCAACTCCATCCTTATCTATTAACAATATTAAGATGAAAGTCAAATGTATTGTATAATTTTGATGTAGTTTACACATCAAGCGTGTGACCCAGTAAAATAAAGCGGTCAAAAGTTGCTATTTTGTGAGACATATTTTCTTGTTTTGCTTGTTTTAATTTTATAACAATGTGATGTTCTGCAGGGGAAAATCATCATCTTTGAAGAGCTGTCCTTTATAGATGCACAGAATGGAGTCAGTGGTGAGAAAGGTGATCATTGCATTTTGTGAAGCAGACCAGCTCTTTTATAGATTTCAAACATTTATTTCTCACATTTAGATGCGTGACAGATATTTGTGTGCTTGAAATGTGGTTTGCTTAATTCTGCTCCTTTATTCTTTCTATTCAGAGCAACAAAGAAAACACTAAACCAAAAAAACAAGTCACCAGCAGTATTATATCAAAACAAAAAGTGATTTGTAGATCTGCACCCCTTCAGTCAAAGAATGACCTTAAGGAGGATAACTCTGGAACAAGAGAGAAGGAAAAGAATGTTAGACCGAAGACCAAAACTAATGCTGATCCTACTAAGCGTAGCACACTAAGCCAGGCCTTCCGTACACAGCAGACTGTAAGACACCGGAAGCTTGTGGAAGAAGTTCAAAAACCACCCTCTACTGTCTCTGCCATCCAGAAGTCCAAACCTGGTACGTATAAGGGTCGTGTAGTACAGTCTAAAATCGACTGTTTCAGAAAACCCAGTGCTGATGTGAAGACCACAGAAAAGAAGGATGTGACCAGACCAAAACCTGAACTGCCAAAAGTTCGGTCCAAGTCTGTTACTTCCCTGCCAGCATCCACTAAACCCAGAGTAAACTCTGCTTTGTCATCTAGACCGAAATCTGTCTCTGATATCCAGCTTAATGCCACTGAAAAACCAGTCCAGAAGTCTGTTTCCCATAAACGGATACCTCAAAAGGTCCAAGGCACTGTCTCCCAAGCAGGTGCTTGTGCTCTTCCCAAGTCAGCCCCTCTAGCAACAGGGCGATTAGCCATGAGCAAACCCATCGCTTCGAAGAAGAAAGAGATGACGGTGCAGGTGGAGAAGCCCAAAACAGCCACCACTGAACAGAAAGTCTGCAGGCCTGTCACAAGTACAGTCAGCCAGTACAAAATACAAATAGAGACGGCTGACGAGAGAAGGTGAGTTGAATACATTACCATCTAATAGTTTGGGGTTAGTAAGATTATGTATAATATTTATTTGATTAATACATTTTTTATTATTATTCAGCCAGGGTGGATTAAATTGATCAAAGACATTTACTATGTTACAAAAATTATTCATCAAAGAATACTGATTAAAAAAAAATGCATCACACTTAACACAAAAATATTATTCTACACAACTGTTTTAAACAGTGATTATAATGAATAAAAATGTGCCCAATAAATATTTTCTTGAGCATCCATCCAGCATATTAGAATGATTTCTGAAGTTAAATCATGTGACACTGAAGACTTGAGTAATGCTGCTGAAAAATCAGCTTTGACAACACAAGAATAAATGACATCTTAAACGACATTAAAATAGAATTACTGTTTTACTGTATTTTTCCTCAAATAAATGCAGTCTTGAGACTTTTTTTCAAAAACACAAAATCTTACAGACACCAAACTTTTCAACAATAGTTTATGTATTTTAGAAACTTGAGTCAAGCATAACCTGATTGATTTTAACTGGACAAGTGTGACAATGTGCTGATAGAAGAGAATATATTGATGTGATTGTCTAATGTTTCATTTGTACTCTACTTTCAGAGCAAAGCTTGCAGAGTGGCTGGCATCTAAGGGAAAGACTCTGAGAAGGCCTCCGATCTCTGAAAATTCGGCAACCTTTTCAAGAAAACCAAAACCAGCTCCGCAGCCTAAAACTGGACCCAATGCCACAACTGGTGCCCAGTCTGAGCCTGTCGTCCAGACTAAGGCTGTAAAACCAACCACTGCATTGAAGACTGACAACCAAACTAATGATATCGAAGTCCCTGACAATAAAACGGTGTGTTCTAGGAGATCAAGTAATATTATGAATACCACACTAGACTTGTTGGACAACAGTGATATGGATTTGCCAGTCGACCCAGAGATAAGAATGGAGTTGGTAAGAACCATTAGAGAGTCTTATTTGTGAAACCGATAGATAGACAGACAGAGATATTCGCTGATGTATTTTGTCATTTTTTTAAATCGTAATTTCTGTTTTGCTTATGTAATATGCAGTTGGTGTTGAACTTGTGTGATAAATTGGAGGCAATGGAGACGCCCTCATCATGTGAAGATGGTGAATCCGATCCATATTCTTTATGCAAGAATTGCTAATTAACACTAATATTACCAGAATAAACAAATGTATTCTCTTTTTGAGTCGTGATGTGATTTTTATAAATTGTTCGTATGTTTCTGCCCATCCTCGACAGGTGTAAATGTTGACAAATCTGACGTGGTGGCAGAGAAAAGAATGGAAGTGCAAGTGGGGGTGCAGGAAATGGATGAAGTGTTTGAAATTCTGAAAGAGGAGGAACTGGGAGATGAGGAAGACTCAGAAAGTGACCTTACAGAAGACACTAAGAAACCTATTATAAAGAATGAGGATGATGATCAGGAACCTAAGGAGAAGAAGCCATTTGCGAGTGAAGATGATGACAGTGATGAGATGAAGAGCACCACTCCAGAGATGGCAGGGGCATCCATTGTGAAATACAATGTGAAAACCACTCCATATCTGCAAAGGTGAGTTTGGGGTAATTTAACGGTATGTACAAAGACCCATACATTTGTAAGAAGTTTGAGTGTTCATCTGGTTTTCTCGTCCTATAGTGTAAAAAAGATAATCGATTGCGAAATGGCACCAGGCAGTGGCTCGCGACGCAAAAGCACCATCAAAGACCTCAAGTTACTGACTCCTGTTCGACGATCGACACGAATCCAACGTAAGTCCTCTCGTCTGCCAGGTATGCTGAACGACCACGATACTTGCGTCTCCTCATTGGCTGAGCTGGTGCAGATGGAAGATGCAGATGCAAATGCTTTCATCTACAGAAAAAACCCAGCACTACTGGAAGACCTGCCTGATCAGCCTGAAGACTTTGCAAAAGTATGCAGTTAAGCAGTACAAGTTGATGTCACTTCAAATTGGACATTTATAAGCATTTGTAACGCCTACATTTTAAGCATTCTATGTGACACTATTAAAAATAGTTTATTTGAATATTTAAGTGTTTGTTGCATTTGGACTGCTAAATAATATCTTAACTGCAATGGCTTAACAGCTTAAGGACAACAATTTGATGTATACGCGCTATTATAAAAAGTTATCTTCTATGCTACAAGGCTCATGCAGTGCGTATATATATATATATATATATATATAAGAGCTTTTTCTGTTTTTTTTTTGTAACATTTTAACACAACACTGCTTTGTTCATTTTGTGAACCTGGAAGTTTGACATGGATGTAAAAAGGATTTTTGTTGTTGATTTGTTTTGAAAAATGAACAAAACCAAAGAATGTGTTGCCTTTCTCTCACTGTAATTTTCTGTTGCTGCTCAGTTTTTCTTTTAAATGTGTAATTTCCTGAACCTACAGTAAAGTCTTTTAAAATAACTAGACTTATTTTCTACAGAGGATTTCATGAATCCCTTACTAGTGACCATGTCTTTTTTAAAGGCAAGACGAGCATTCACTGTATTTTAACCATAATTGTGATCACTGAGCTAGTGACTGTATGACATCTTAATAAAGAATATATCAGTGCAATATAAATATCAGTTTGATTGTGTCAATGTAACAGAAAAATTGGTTTTACTGTCTGATGCGTCTAGTTAAGGATTAATGAAAACATTTCTGTATATGGGAAAGAAATTATTTTTCTAATATATCCACGGTTCCTCCCTAACTGTCGCCAATTTCTTCCTGTAAACGGCTAAGCGCATGCTGATTGGCTGGGAATTTGAACTCGCTGTGCGCGAGCAAAGCATTGTGGGACGGAGACGAACTCCAACGCGCTTCTCCTCCAGGCCACACAAAGCACTAGAGTGCCGATCAATTTACCGCTTTATTAGTCTTAAAAACTATATATTTTAAACTTTCTTTTAAGCTTTTCTTTCAGAATATCATCACGGTGAGTCCAATGAACTTGATTCGCTCTTAAAGATTCGACTCCGAGTGAACGCACGATGCCTAATTTTTGCGCGGCTCTAAACTGCTCCAGGAACAGCACTCATTCGGTGCTGGCGTTCTTCAGGTTTCCACGGGACCCAGAGAGGTAAATTACACACGTTTTGTCCCCTAACTTACCCTGTCATCTAGACGATAGACGACTTCGTGTTTAACCTTCATTTATTTTCCAGTACAGACATTGTGTGCAGAGCTGTATTGAGCCAGTTAGCTTGCTTGGCAGATCAGATGCTAAGTTGACTATGTCAATATGTAATGTTTACATGCTGCACAAAGTATTGTTATATAACCGGGAGTTGTTTATCAGGCGCCACAGTTTTACTTTGCAGTTGTATTGTTTAAATAAGATAAGAAAGTGTGTTTATTAGGCCAACTGCCTGATAAAACGCAGTTCTGATCGAATGTATGTCATAGATATGAACTACATTGATCCCATTATGGATGTTGTGTATTAGCAGCTAGACACAATAACATTGTATATTACATTAAAAACAAAACAATTCAGAGAATATGCACTGTTACAGTATTATAATGCTATATCCACGTCATAATGCTTAATGTGCTGTGGCAGAAGCTAACAGCCCTCCATTCATGAGATATTTGCTCCCTAGGTGTAAGAAATGGGTGGAAAATTGCAGTCGCTCAGACCTTAAAGATAAAACACCGGACCATCTGAACAAATACCACAGACTGTGTGCCAGACACTTTGAACCTAACTTGATAACCAAAACCGTAAGTTGTTATTAATCTTTTTGTGCAGTTCATATGGAATTATTGTATTTTTTAATGTACTTTGCCTTCGTATGAATTATACTTTTAAATTATAAGAAATTGTATAGGCTATGCATCAGGGAAAGGGTGTATTTTAAGTGCTTTTTCTGCTCGCTTTGCGATTCACTTAAATAGTCCTGCAGTGTGACATAAATTACAGTGAAAATATCAATATTAAAAAACTGCAAAAGTACAATAATTATACAAGAATTAAAAATTGTTGTGTAAGAGTTTTAAATATAGCATATAAAACAACTGACATCATAACTTCCCATGAATAAATAACATGATCTCTAACATATTGCATTGCGCATTATTGTGATTATTATCCAGAGCCCTTTCAGGACCGTACTGAAGGATAATGCGTTACCAACCATATTTGACAATCCTTCCTTCAAACGGTCGAATAATGAGGTAAGAGTTGCTCAGTATTAATCAATGAGTTGTTACTGTACTGTATTAAACCTGTCTCTTAACATTTTTAAGGTAAATGTCAATTATGTGTAAATACTGAATGTGAAGTGTTTTAGTAATGAATTTGGTATGTTTCTAACAGACAGAAAATAAAGATGCCCCTGAAGCGAAGAAGAGTAAATGTGAGTTGTTTTTGTGTGTTTTGTTTGTTCCTTTGTTTTATGATTCAGAACTATTTAGATATTACGATATACTTTTCTCACATATTTACATACCCGGCTTGCTGAATCTGTAATCTGTAGGGATTTTTTTTTTTTATGCATTTTTATTTAGTAATGTTGTAATAAAGCTCTTTGACACATTCTACTTATTTACATGAATTCCACTATACAAAATAATTACTGAATTTACACAAATATTGTTTTTTTTTTTGTATTTTCAGCGGACTCCCAAAGTGAGCCAACGAAAGATGATAGTGAGGCAACAACCAAAGAGATCAGTGAGAGCAAAAATGGCGATGGGGTTGACAGCAGCCCTCAGGTCATTGATGAGGAAACGCTGAATAAAGAGTATCTCAAGTCTTTGTTCGATGTTGTCATGATGATGGGAACGCAGAACATCGCTCTGCATGGGCACTCTGACAAAGAACCCAGAAGCAAAACCTTCACTCCCAGCAACTTCCAGGCACTGTTGGAGTACCGCATCAACGCAGGTGATGAATTCCTCAGAAAGAAGTTCGAGGGGTCGCCCGTAAACCTCGAGTATTGCTCCTCTACTCAATTGCAGCAGATGCTGGAAGTGATCGAAAACTGCGTTCGTGAAGAGTCGTTGGCTGAAGTTAAAGAAGGACACTTCTTCTCATTGGTTGTAGACAACCTGGTTGAGATAGGCGGAGCGAGCCGTCTCCCATTGTTCATACGTTTTGTGGGCAAGACCAACTGCCTCCGGGAAGAATTTGTCGGGTTTCTGCCTTTTGAAGGTGATGTGGAGGCTATCACCAAGAGGCTAATTGGTGAAGTGACCGAGAAATGTGGCCTGGACATGCAGTACTGCAGAGGACAGGCGTATTTGTGTTCTGGTGTGTCCGCTATGAAGGTCAAAGCAGTGGTGGCCAGAATATCTGAGTTACACCCGCTAGCAGTTCTCACCCCTTGCTCCAGTTGCTCTCTAAACATCTGCCTGGCAAACACAATGACCTTCACAGGAGTGCATCTCGTCATGTGTACCCTGAAAAAGCTGGATGCATTTTTCAGTAAGTCACCATTGTTACAAAATCAGCTGGAAAGTGCTATTTCGATCTACTACCAGGGAAACGAAGAAAAGGCCAATGTCCTCAAAGGGGCCTGTTACTCGAAATGGACCGAGCAGCATGATACATTCGAAGTAGCTGTCGACCTCCTGGAGTCTCTCCTGCTTTGCATGGATAGCATCCATGATAATGAAGATCACAAATGGAGCGATGAAGTGGCACACAGCGCCTTTGTCATATCAGAGGCATTGGCCGATTTTGAATTTGTCATGACGTTAGTGGTGCTGAAGAACACACTTTCCTTCTCCAGAGCCTTTGGTAAGAATCTGCAAGGCCAAACAAACGAGGTCTTCTTCGCATCTAGCAGTCTAACTGCGGTTCTGCATTCACTGAATGAAGTTTACGAGAATATCGAGGTCTACCATGAGTTCTGGTTTGAGGAGGCTGTTAACCTGGCTGCAGCTCTTGAAATCCCAGTGAAAGTACCCAGGCTGTACTTCAGAAAACGACCGACGTCTGGTGAGGAAATCCAACCTGAGACTTACTATAAAGAGCAAGTCACCCTTCCAGTGGTCAGCCATGTGATTAAGGAGCTGTCTGATCTTTTCTCTGAACATTTCAGCATATTTTCAATTGTGTTAGTACAATACACACAAACAAATAAGTGTTTCATCTGTGGCTCAGTTGTAGAGCATTGCATTAGCAGCGCAAAAGGTCGAGGGTTTTATTCCCAGGGAACACACATACTGGTAAAAAATGTATAGCCTGAATGCACTGTAATGCATAGATTTAATTATAAATGTTTCATTCACAGTAACTGCCTTTCATAAAGCTATTACTATTGAACTTTTCATTCGCATGACTTCTTCATTCAGATTAATACATTTGTCTATTATTTAATCTAACTCATCTTAATGGTTAATCAGTGAATCATTTAAAGGAAAGGAAAGGACATGACGTGTGGTGACCCATACTTGGAATTTGTGCTCTGCATTTAACCCATCCAAGTGCAGACACACAGTAGTGAACAAACACCCGGAGCAGTGGGCAGCCAATAACCTTCAGTTGGGGGTTCGGTGCCTTGCTCAAGGGTCTCACCTCAGTCATGGTATTGAGAGCACTGGACATTCACTCACCCCACCTACAATCCCTGCCAGACCTGAGACTCAAACCCGCAACTTTAGGGTTTCAAGTCCAACTCTCTATCCATTAGGCCACGATAGCATGATCTAAGATGATAACCACTATTTTGTAAGGGTGTGTGTGTGTGTGTGTGTGGTCAGGTAAACCCTATTTTATGGGGACAAAATTTCCCCACAAAGATGGCAATATCTGAAATCATTGTCCTTTTTTGGGTCCAATGAGTGTAGGGGGAGACAGTATAAAACCCATTACTCCTATGGATTGTCACCATAATGATAGGAAAAGTGTGTGTGTGTGTGTACCTACTTACTGTAACCATATTTTGGGGACAAATTGGTACCCAGAAGTAAACAAAACTTGACAAAATCACCTAAAACCTCCCTTTGAGGACGTCCTCATTTGTAAAACCGTGTGTTTTGCTATTTGTGAACAGCAGGACACGAGGAAGAGGAACTGATCAGAGATGTATCAGAAGAAGGGAGACAGCATCAAATACAGCATTTTACATTATATTATGCCATGTGATACTGTATATAGAAGCAACACCATGGTAAAGACTGCACATTACTATAACTCACCCTTCATCTGAAAAATTCAGCTAGAATATATATTCAGTCATATGGCACAGTGAGGACATTTACTGCATTGGCAGTAAACTCTGTTCTAGCACAAAACCTTATGGCCACCATGTCATACCTTCATCACACCTTTTGATAACACACTGGATAAATACTTTT